ATATATATATATTGACAATAGAACGCTTAATAAGACGATGCGTTTAGGCATTCTCCTATAAGAAAACATTCGGCATTCAATTATAATTGTTACTGTTACTGGGTATGTAGCCGATTGTTTAGTAATGTTATCGGTCTGGAGTGTGCGATTTCAGCGTGCGTCTTCTTTGTAAAATGCCTGGAAATCATAGCGAGGGATGACCCAAGCTTTGTGAGTGAAATTCGGTAGACGTAACGTAACGAGACAGTTTTTCGAGGTAGCAACAAATTATTTGTTCTTTGCAATGAAGTATAATTGGTAGGAATTCCATGAAAACCTGTCTCTACCCTTACATATATTTTGTTATCTGAGGTCACCATCTCAGCGTGTGTTACTTCTCTGAAAGTGCCTGAAAGCCATACTACGGGTTGAGCCAAACCTTGAGAGTGAAATTGGGTAGACGGAACTCTTTGCCAGCCGTCGGTGGTTGGGCTTGCACGAAGGCACAGGTCAACGTGACCGAGGGGTTGAGCGATCTGGCCTTATTCAGATTGTTGATCATGCTAGATAACACGCTCTCTCTCATAAACTGTAACTAAGATCTGATCAGCATAGTTACAGTATAAATCACAGGTGGTCTATGTGGGTGTTAAATAAACACAAATATGCCCGGGTAGGCGTCTGCAACGGGGATTAGCTAATCGCCCTATGAGACGGGCATCCTCGGTTACCTTTGGCCATCTACCCAGCAATATATATTAAAATATACTGACATTTATAAAACCTTTCTGTTTAAAATAGTTTTCAGTAAAATAGGTTTCGCAAGTCCACTGTTATCACACGTTTCATTATTGATATTGGATTTATCACACGTTTCATTATTGATACTGGATTTATCACACGTTTCACTATTGATACTGGATTTATCACACGCTTCATTATTGATATTGGATTTATCACACGTTTCATTATTGATACTGGATTTATCACACGTTTCACTATTGATACTGGATTTATCACACGTTTCATTATTGATACTGGATTTATCACACGTTTCATTATTGATACTGGATTTATCACACGTTTCACTATTGATACTGGATTTATCACACGCTTCATTATTGATACTGGATTTATCACACGTTTCACTATTGATACTGGATTTATCACACGTTTCATTATTGATACTGGATTTATCACACGTTTCATTATTGATACTGGATTTATCACGTTTCATTTTTGATACTGGATTTATCACACGTTTCATTATTGATACTGGATTTATCACACGTTTCATTATTGATACTGGATTTATCACACGTTTCATTATTGATACTTTATTTATTCAATCCCCCAAAATTGAATAAAATCAATTTCATTATTGATACACAAGAGTTTAATTTGTATTATTATTGTATCCCCAAATATATAAATATAGACATAAGATATATATATATATATATATATATATATATATATATATATATATATAGTACTATTAAACCTATAGCTGGCAACATTATTGTTTCAAAAACGTATAGCTGACAACATTTTGTTCCGAAAACATTATCTGAGTCCTTGCTGTTGGACGTAGTTTATCGCCATACCCAAGACGCGGATGTAGTTTATTGTCATATCCTAGACGTGGGTAAGAGCTGGAAAAACTAGGAGTTCACTATTTCCCATAGATAGGACCCTAACAGGTGCTACCACCCAGGGTCAAGTTGGACCTAGGAACACCAGCAATTAAGAGGTGGTTCCACGTTCCTTAAAACCTCCTGATCAGAGGCCTTGCTGCTGGATGCAGTTTAACGTCATACCCAGGACGAATATTTAAGTAAATGCTCTGTTTATAATAATCAGTATTAACAACATTTACGTATTAAAGTTTCAAGAGTGCAATTGGAAAAATTGTTCGTAAATTCATAAAAAATGGCAAATGTAAAAACATCATTGTGTGCTCGTTTACGCCATTCAGCTGAAAACATTGCTGCAGTTCACGAGAATGTGGCCGAAAATCAAGACACCTCTATTCGTCATCGCACAGGAATTGAACCTCTCTACAACAAATTTACATCGTTTTCAATTGCACTCTCTCTTGGTCGATTATGTTGACCCCCCCCCAAAAAAAATGTGCACGAAATGCATTTCTGTTTGAACGTCCATTTTCGTAATAGGCTTCGATAGCTTTAACACGTTGTTTGATTGTTAATCTTTTCATGTTTGAAATTGCCAATGACTTAAGTTGTTAAATCTGAAAGCAAAAGAAAAAAAATCATTAAACGCTTAAACATAATTCATATTTAAAATCGGTTCAAGTTATTGGAACACCCTTTATACTAAAAGAAAACAAAAAAACTTATCCGTTTCCAAATTACTTTTTATTTGTCATTCCGTCAAATTCTCATCCAAATTTAAATTATGATTAATTCTCAATATTTTAACAATACATCAGATTAATGTTATCAGCCGAGATGAATTCATATCTACTTTTCATCCAATCTAAATAAAAGATTATTTATTCGGCCATCTTTATTGTCTAAATTTCTACGATGAATTTTTATCATCTTTTCACAATTTGTTCTAATAGTCTCATCTACAATTTTTGTTTTTCCTTTTCTCTTTGCTTTGCTTCTCGATTTCCCCTCACTTTCTTTGTCATGTTATCACTCTTGTTTATACTTTCTTTCATATATATTTTTAAACTCAGGCGATTGTCGCCATCGATGTATATACAATGCTTTTTTCACAAAAGAGAAGAAATTAAAAGAAAAAAAAAACAGCTAAAAATATATTATTAGTTACATAAATAGCTTTCGGTAATAAAGTATTCGTATACAATCGGAAGAATTTACGTATTATTCACATAATAATTTGCAAATATTTTCGGGGATTATACGAATCCAAGATGAATCTTAATCGCTGAACGCGGTGTATTCAACTGATATGGTGAAAAGTGAAACTATTTGTAAAAAGATCATTTATTGATATATTTATGAATGTCTTTCTTTTCGTTTCTTCTCTTTTGATGAAAAAAAAGAACGGTATCTACATAGGTGCAGACAATTTTCAGAAGTTGTTTAAAACGGATAAAAATCCAGTGTGAAAAGCGACGCAGAAATAAACAGACAAATAATAAAAAAGAAAATAATTGTTAATAAATATTCCCACCCTTCATTCATTTCAACCAGGAACAAGAAAAACACTATATATATATATATATATATATATATATATATATATATATATATATATATAAATTATATATATTTAAATAAATTAATTTTTAAAATATCGCTTCACAGTTCTAAAATGTTTCAAAAATGGAAGCTAACATTTTTTTAAATTGTAGTTAAATAAAACGTATTCTAACCTAAGCACCCACCAAAAATCTTTAAGTATACAAATAGAAAAAAATGCCGTAAGAATTTTTGCCGTTAACAATAAAATTTAAAAAAATCCAGACGACATGCATTTAACGGATGTTAGATTTCATTGAAAAATACATCCCTACCCCTACCAAAACGTAACTAATACTTGATACATCAAAATACAGCGATAATGAACTCACAAACACCCCTTGTCTAGATGAATGGATTTCTTTGTATCCTTGGAAAAGTGAATTGTGATTTTTTGCTGTGCCTTTAAAACCCTGTAATAAATAAGATACTCTAAAATTCGCTTGAGGATGAAATGGAACTAATGTCTTTAATTTAATTACAAAATTAAATTCGAAGCTTAGCTTCCATTTTTGAAACATGGTTAGAACTGTGTAGGGAAAACATTTTAAATCAATTAATTTATTATATTAATGCTCTGTAAATTTTCATTGAGCACTATTTTGTAAAAATAAAAATATCTATAAGAACACCGGATTATATATCTTACTGTTCTTTCTTTCTTTCTTTCTCTCTTTCTCTCTCTCTCTCTCTCTCTATATATATATATATATATATATATATATATATATATAATTGGATTAATGTGGGTCACAAACACACAGCAATCCAAGTAAATATATTAGCCCTATCACTGATATTGAGCGCTCTCCAATAAGTATCGTGCATATATAATATACAAACAATATATATAAAAATTGCATATATATATATATATATATATATATATATATATATATATATATATATATATATATAACCTTTTAAGAAAATTATTTATTGGTTATTGGATATTCTTCTGTATACACCAATCCTATATTTAGATATATATATATTTTATATACATAGATATTTTACATATATATATATATATATATATATATATATATATATATATGAAAAAAGATGGCTGGTTGTAACTCGGTTTACGACTAGAGCTATCTTTATATATATATATATATATATATATATATATATATATTGTGTAGTTCTTCATTTATACATGCTTAATTAAAGACGACAGACAATGTACTGCGATTAAGCTTTTCATTTTTTCGAAGTGTTTTCTTTTCTGGACACGCAGTGTGTAAAAACTGTCCACATCTCTTCCTGATCAAACCGAATTCATAAATAATTACATCACTCACAATACTACATGTCTATCTAGAAACTTTATGTTGCACCTATCCGACTACAATTCTACCAGTGCACATTTAAATACAAACTTACATATTACTTTTTTTTATTTCTGTTTATACGCTATTTTATTGATACAAATATTTAAGTAAATGCTCTGCTTATAGTAATAATAATAATAATAATAATAATAATAATAATTCTAATAATAATTCTAACTAATTAACCCATAGTTGGGGGAGAATAGTTTGATGTACTCTGCACATTTACTCCGTTACCATAACAATAATCCCGATACTTTTTGATCAAACCCCATATTTTGTCAGTCTCTTAATTTTTAACATGAATCTATGTCGCCATTTGCAGTGTTTCACTGCTTGTTCGTTTTATCTTTAATTATCCTCTTATCTCTTCTTCCGCAAATTAAATTTATTTTTTGGAATTTGGAAATTATCGATTAAATTATCATCAGTTTTTTTTTACTAGTATATGCTCTTCCTCTTCTTCCTTTTTCTTTTTCTTCTTCTTCTTCTTCAACTTTATTTTCATTCGATTCCATTTCTTTTTCTGTTTCTTCTTCTTTTCTCCTTATTCATTTTTTTACTTTCATCTTTCCGCTTGTTTCGCTCCTGTTGATTTTCATCTTTATTCCTTCTCCTGCAACTTTATTCCTTCATCTTTTTCAACTTTATTCCTTCTTCTTCATAATCTTTATTTCTTCCTTTCCTTCTTTCCCACCATCTACGTTTTCTTCTTCATCAACTCTCTTCTAGAAATTTTGTTTTTCTTCTTTATTCCTTCTTCTTCCTCTTCTTCTCCTTCTTCAGGTTTATTTCATATTCTTCAATTTTATTCCTTCTACTTATTTTTAAGTTTGTTCCTACTTCTTCAAATTCATTTCTATTACTACTACTTTAAGTTTCTTTCTTTTTCTTCTTCTACTTCTTCATCATCATCTTATTCTTTATCTTCAAGTTCATTCCTTCAAATTCGTTTCTTCTACTTCAAGTTTATTCCTTCTTTTTAACGTTTTTTCCTTCCATTTTTCATCAAGTTTATTCCTTCTTCTTCTTCAAGTTTACTCCTTCTTCTTCAAGTTTACTCCTTCTTCTTCAAGTTTATTCCTTCTTCTTCAAGTCTATTTCTTCTTCAAATTTATTTATTCTACTTTTTCTTCAAGTTATTCCGTCTACAAATACTACTACTACTTCGTCTTCTTCTTCAAGTTTATCCCTTCTTTTTCAAGCTTATTCCTTCTTCTTCTCCTATTTCTTCACGTTTTTCATTCTTCTTCAAGTTTATTCTTTTTTCTTCACCTTCTTCTTAGATTGTATTCCTTCTTTTTCATGAATATTCCTTCTTCATCTTCAGATTTATTTCTTCTTCAAGGTTATTCCTTCTCTTTTTCAAGTTTATTCTTTCTTCTTCAAGGTCATTCCTTCTCTTTTTCAAGTTTATTCTTTCTTCTTCAAGGTCATTCCTTCTCTTTTTCAAGTTTATTCTTTCTTCTTCAAGGTCATTCCTTCTCTTTTTCAAGTTTATTCTTTCTTCTTCAAGGTCATTCCTTCTCTTTTTCAAGTTTATTGTTTCTTCTTCATTGTCTTTTCTTCTACTACTACTTCTTTAAGTTTATCTCTTCTTTTTCATGTTTATTCCTTCTTCTTCTACTTCTCCATGATATTAATTCTCTTTCTCTTTCTTTTTCTTCAAGTTTATTCCTTCTTCTTCAAGTTCATTTTTTCTACTACTACTATACTTATTCCTTCATCATCTTCATATTTATTCCTTCTTTTTAATATAGATCCTTTCTTCTACTTCTTTTACTTCAAGTTTATTCCTTCTTCTTCTTCTTCTTCTTCAAGTTTATGGCTTCCTCAAATTTATTTCCTCTTTTTCTTCTTCAAATTATTCATTCTTCTTCAACTTTTTCTTCAAGTTTATCTCTTCTTTTTCAAGGTTATTCCTTCCTCTTCTCCTACTTCTTCAAATTTCTTTTCATTCTTCTTTTCCTTCTTCATGTTTATTCCTTCTTTTTAAAGTATATTCCTTCTTCTACTTCTTTTTCTTCAAGTTTATTCCTTCTTCCTTAAATTTTCAACTGCATATATCATCCAGTAATCACTGGCTTTTTCGGTATATCGTAGTTATATATTGAGATGGTTAAAGCAATTGCAGGTGTGTGATAAGCCGTGGCACTTGTAAGATTGGTCTATTTTTAACGCACTGCTTCATGAAATGTATATATCGAAATAAAGGCTTGCAGCACAAATATCCAAATACGTGCCATTCTCTTAGACTAATGTCGATACTGTTGAAGAATACGGAATTATAACAATAGTTTATGATCGTTGCTTTATAAATTCTTTAAGACAGCATCAGCCTCTATGGTATTATCTAAATAAGAGATCATGTCTTTCTGGATGACGTCAATACCCGAGGAAGGCCGAGCAACGCATCATGTTATAACTATTCGAAAATGTCATGGAAAAATGATAGTGATTGTTTGCAAGACGATGGCGGATGGAGCAAAGTGTCAATTGGCTAAAATATAGCGAAGTAATCCAAACATGATAAAGGCAGTAAGAGCTGTCGAAACGGGAAAACAAGAAAGGATAAAAAACATTTCTTGATAAATATTCAGCAAAGTAAATTAATCGTATATGGCAGCTATCAAAATAATGGGATAATTTATATTTGATATTAATAATAAGTGGATAATTTGGAAGGTACTCGAACATTTTACCGAATGGACATTTAGCTGAACATGTAGTGTCATGAAGTTTCATATGTACTACATATATTTATATTCATTTATTTTATTAATTGATAATTTTTCGATTTTTTTTTTGACAGGCTTTTCTTAAAAATCTATTCTGTATATATTATATTTTACTTCAAATAGTAATTAGTACTTTGAGAAAAAGCACATTTTAGTACAATAAAAATTTTACGCTTTTACGATATGAAAGATCTTTCAATTTCGCTTTTAATGATCATTATCTGAAAGGGATGAACTAGCTTTTATCATACTATTAAATACGAATTTAAATAATTAGGTGCTACTTTTTACCCAAAATACACTCAAATATTTTTAAAAATACTAATTTCAAGAAACAAATATAGAAATAAGAAAACTTTTAACTTTAAATTTAAATTTAGAAATTTAATCACTTGAAATTCAATGGTAGTTATTATTCCTATTCTAATTTATAATTCTGCTAATTAAAATACTTAAAGTATTGCTTGGTACTATTTTTACTTGTACTTTTTCGGTGAAATGTCCGTCGGCCAAATATCCAGTCGGTCAAATGATTTCACTCAAATATTCCTCGGCCAATGTCTGGACACGAATTTTGATGGAATTAATTAAAACACACACACACACACACACACACACACACACACATATATATATATATATATATATATATATATATATATATATATATATATATATCTGTGTGTCTGTGTGTCTGTGTCTGTGCCTGTGTGCTAAAGGATTCATGTTAAAAAGATAAAAAATAAAAGAAACAAATGAAAACTACAGACAAAAGTTCATTTTCTCCATCAAGACATTCATTTCTGTAGTTTACTGCTACCAGCAAGCAGAAATATTTCTCCTCCCGATGATGGCCATTTGGGTCGAAACTAGTCGAGGAATCTAAATGAAATAATAATAATAAAACGAAAGAATGTTAATCTACAACCCAGTGTGTCTGAAGATTTTCATTTTTAAATATTTTTTTATTGTTCAATATATATATATATATATATATATATATATATATATATATATATATATATATATATATGTGTGTGTGTGTGTGTGTGCGTATGTGTAATATATATATATATATATATATATATATATATATATATATATATATATATATATATATATAATTATTTATATATTATATGCGCGGTACTTTATTAGAAAGCGCTCAATATCAGAGATAGAGCTAACATATTTGGTTGGATTGATTTGAGTTTGTGACCCTGGGTTTCACGCTTTTGCGATCGTCAGACAAACTGGTTAATTTAAAAAAAAATTGGGATTTATGTAGATTGCGTGTATTTGTGTTATTATGGGAGTGTGGGGAATCGTCGTCGTGATGTCATCGTGCAAACGCAAACATAAATGCATGTCCGTACACCCGATGGGGTACGCAGACACACATACACACTTCCTCGTCCACAGGAACTCATACAAATATAGACATATGTGGACAGTCTGCGATTTGACGATGACACAACTATTTACTCCTGTCTCGATAGTCAGTGTAATCAGTTTGATAAGTTTGGCAGTTGATCTAAAAATAACCTAAAGTCTGTTAACTGCAGCAAGGAATAGCTTGTTAATTTTAGCGCCTCCAAAACGAAACTCTCTATCAATCAACAGAAAGGTCCCTTCCCGCTTCCACCAGCAAGGATGATGCTTACCTCCATGAGAGTGACTCGTTGCACCTTCTCGAGCTTACATCCTCGACTGACATGTGGAAAGATTATATAGAATGCATTGGCAGGTCAACTGCAAAGAAAGTTAAAAAGTTCACTGTGTCCTGCTAGACAATGTTTCTCCCCTGAATTTATCTTACATATTTATGAAGTCTACCATTCATCCAAGCTTTGAATATTGCTGCCACGTATGGCCCGGTGCTCCTGTTGTATATTTAGAGATTCTTGATAAAATCCATAGAAGAATCAACAATATTATTGGTCCTGACCTGGCGTTTCGTCATCTTCCCACCGCCATGATATAGATTCTCTGTGCCTTTTTTATAAATACTTTCATGATAGCTGTTGGAATTGACTCTTCGCTAAAATACCTAGACTTTATGAATATAAGCCATTGGTGAGAGGTCTCATCAATTCACAGTTGAATTGGCTAGATGTAACCGTAAGTTGTATGCTAGGAGTTTCTTCTTTGGCACTTCTCGCATGTGGAAATATTTCCCGGCTCCTTGTTTTCCAAGCCAACTTATATCCTCAAAAATTCAAATGTAATGTCAATCGCTATCTACTACCTTCTTGTTTGTTCTTCTATTGATCTCGATCGTTAATAACGTTCTCATTTTTTTCTTATTCTTTCAGACTCAGTAAGCCCTTGTGTCGTAGTGATTTTACTTCCTTGCATTAGGTAAAATGATTAAGAAAAATGACCCTACACAATTAAATATTTTATATCAGAAATCGGCAACAGCACGGACATTATTTTAAGAAAAAGGGGACAGTTTAGTGAGACATGTAGATAAAAATAAAGCACATAAAATAATAGAATAGAATGGCGAATAAATTAACATAGGCAATCCAAATGATAATCTTGCAAACCAACAAGGAAACATGGCTCAATAAATAAAAACAATAATAAAGGATGATTGACAAATCTAATATTACACAATATATATGGTAGTCCAAAATAGCATAATCTCCGTATTGGGCAGAAGTTTGATGACACTGTCAGGGTAATGAGTTGAACACCCTAGGCTCTGAATTCTGAAAATGATGTAAGGTCGGAAGATCCTTAGGATGACATCATATGTTATAAAATATTTGGTCCATGAAGGTAGCTGATGGGCAACCAACCTGTTTTGCTCCATGGCCAGGTGCCTAGAGCAGTAAATCACACGCAAATTCTTGTTTTGCTACAAATTCTGCGTTTGTATAAGATTGTAGAAATATCAGGCGTGGGTCCATAGAAAGGTGATTTAGTTGTATGTTGATTCCAATAGATGTTAATTATAGCTCAATGTCCGAGAGTAGGATCCATTCAACCTAGACTCTAGGGTTTTACATAATATCCAAGCAGTGGTGCCGTACATTAAAGCTGATCCTACTGTCTCTCGAAAGCATCTCCGTTTGTGGTTGTCTGGTAGATCAGGTTTCCATCTTATTCAAAGCGGCCTCGGCTTTAGCTATTCGAATTTTCACAATCTTTTTCGGTAGAATTTATTTCGCTTCCTAGGTATGAAAAAAGGCCTGACCGACTTTATTGATTCAACTTAGTTTTTGTTTAACGTTCCTGTTCGAAGCTTACGAATTCAGCTTTAGAGGCATTGTCATCAGGTACAACATCATTAGCTATATTTTCTAGATAATATGAAACTGTCACTTTGGTAATGGTTCCTGCAGTGATAGTTAGGCAATTGCAGAGTAAATATCGGTCAACCTTTCTGCAGGATATCGACTTGCTTTTTTAAAAACTTAACATGCAAGTAATTCTATAAACCCAGTCTCTTTATTGATAATATTTTTTTAATTATTATGAAAGATGCAAATAATGAATGCTACAGGGAAAGTTGATAGGATACGTCTCAGTTGAAGGAAAAGGCCGACACTTGCATAGGGGTCTGCATGTGGATGAAGGAATCACTTATTTATATTGATTCAGGCATTTAAGCAATGTTGTATCAGGAACGCAATGAATGGGACAGAGAATGGAATTCGATTTTATCCTAATATTGGATCCAATAACCAAATGTCTGATTCCTTTTTCAATCGATAGTGAAAGCGGTGAGGATTTTCTAGCATTTGAACCAAATGAAATAACAGTAAACTCTTTTTTATTTCATTTTTTCATTTTTAGGTTTTCAGTTATTTGGTGTTTAGATTTCTTTTGAACAGGTGTAGAGGTAAATCCCTTATTTCCTGTTTAGGCTTACATTTCCGATTGCTTCTAAAGTCTTTCATTCACTTTCACTCCGTGTGTCCCATTGCGTCTTAGTGGCATGATCTCCTTTCGGGAGTTGAATTGATTAAATATATACATACATATAATATATATATATATATATATATATATATATATATATATATATATATATATATATATATAAATCAATTAAAATATATAATATAATATATATATATATATATATATATATATATATATATATATATATATATATAAAAAGAAATATGTTGTAGTGGTTCCAACGAGAGAAAAGTATGTATATTAAAAAGAAGAAGCCTACCGCAAACGAATTTCTAGAAAGAAAATTGGATTGCCAACAAAAAAACAGAATGTCTCATATCGA